AACGTCACGCTTTCCATCGCAAAACCATCGAAACCCAAGAAACCCAGGGCACCCTGGAGGCAAGCAGGGTGTTTCTTGGCATGGGCCCCTACTGTGGGCCTCGGACGCGCCGACCGATCACCAGCGCCGCGGCAAACAAAAACCGGCCTCTCCTCCTCGGTGAGTGCTGTTGCCTCCGCGGGGCTCCGCGGGCGCGCGCGGGGGCGAGGTCGCCGACGCCGATCGCCGCGCCGCTCCGGCACGCGGCCAGGAACTCGGACTCGAAGTCGGCCGCGCCATGGCCCTCGGGGGTGGCCTCGTCCGGCTCGGCCGCGTCTGGCTCGTCGGCCTCGCCCGGCTCGTCCTGCGGCCGAGCGCGGGCGGGGGGGGGGCCCGACCCAGCCGCGTGTGCCACTGTCTTCTCTACGGCCCCTGGAGGAGCCCCCGGCGTCGAGTCCGAGGGGTACCCCAGGGAGACGCGGCTGGACCCAGGCCAGGAGACAAGCGCGCTCCGCTGCTCGCAAGAAGCAGCTGCTCGCACATGGCCCAGATCCGCCGCGGGGGATGGAAGATCCATCACGACGAGGCGAACCTGTGTTTTTTGTTGTCGGACGTTTGCGAGTAGGCACCTTGCGAGTAGTGGTATGACCACATCCCAAAAATTCGCCGGCCCGGCGGGCTCGGGGGCGGCCAACAGGGGAGCGTCCAAGAGGGGGGGGTGCAAATCATGGCCAGAAGCATGTGCGCGACCGGCCCAGGGGGGGGGGCCAGGGACGCAATGAAACAATAAGAGGCGCCATGAAATCTAGGCAGGTGTCATGGCCCCCGCCATGATATCCCCCCCCCCCAGTCATCACCCCCCTCGTTGCCGCCCCCACGGGCCAGGCGTGCTAAGATCTCCGGTGGCAGGCTAACAGCATTGCTACTTCGCGCGCCGCGTGGCGGCCCTGGCCCCCAAGAGGCCCCAAGAGGCCGTAACAAAGCCCCCCCAGAGGCCCCAAGCCTGCCTCCCAGGGCCCCCAAGACCCAAGAGCACGACCACGAGAGCCCAAACCGCCTCCTCCTCTCTCCTCCCCCGCCTCCTCCTCCTCCTCCTCCGCCTCCTCCTCCTCCTCCTCCCTCCTCCTCCTCCTCCTCCTCATCCTCCTCCTCCTCCTCCTCCTCCTCCCCCTCCCCCTCCCCCTCCCCTCCCCCTCCTCCTCCTCCTCCTCCTCCTCCTCCTCCTCCTCCTCCTCCTCCTCCTCCTCCTCATCATCATCCTCCTCCTCCCATCCATGAGACCTCTGACCCACCACCCAGGCACGGTTGCGGGATGGGCCAAGGGCCAATCGATAATCGACAACCCCACCCAGCAGCATCGCATTCACAACGATCACTCGGGCAATTGGCAACGCTCCAAATGGCCCTCGTCGAACGATCGGTCCGATACGCCCACGATGGCTTCCAGACGGCCTACGACGCGTACAAGACCCCCGAAAAGGCCACCAAGAGGCCTCCCAAGAGAGCCCCAAGAGGCGCACCCCGACAAACGACAACGGCGAGGCAATATGAGCTGGCGGATTTGAGCGAAGCGAATCATAATTTCAAGCACCCAGCAAGGTATCGAAACAGTGTCTGCCCAAAACGCTGGCGAAGCGTCCAACGAGTATCGCCTCCAAGGGCCCGACACGCGAAAACTGTCCCAGTGGTGTCGTCTCTCCGGACCCTCCATTTTCGGTACTTTCTTGGTGCGGATGAAAAGAAGAAACAAGGGTAGGTTGGAATATCAAAACTCTAAAAGCCAGCTCGGCCTCTGAGGAGGCGCTGGCGCAACTTTGGGCCAGGGGCACCGCTTGGGAGGCACCTGAGCTCCATGATGGAAAGGGGGAGAAAAAAGGGGGGACTGGCCCTCCTCCTCCAAAGGAAGAGGAGGAGGAGGAGGAGGAGGAGGAGGAGAAGAAGCAGGAGGAGGAGGAGCAATGGAGCAATGCAGAGAACGGCCAGGTGCATCACGAAGCCGCCTCGAGAAAAGGGAGGGCGACCCAGTCAGGCTGGGGTCGTCTCAGGCGGTGCGGACAAACGCCAGCACCGTGCACAGACACTCACACGGCCTCCGCGGGCAGCGAGTCCGAACCAGGGGCACCTTCGATCCACTCCGCGCCGCGCAGGCCGACGTCCTCGGCCCCAGGGCCCGCGACCCCCAACCTCGGAGGCACCTGCTGGGAGTCTTCGCGCTGTCTAAGAAAATCCGCTGGCGCGTCGGCCAGCAACAGCGGGCTAAGGGCCTCGCCCGTCTTTGGATGGCGGCCCTTCTGAGCATTCGACAGGAGCCTCTGCAGCCGATCCCGCCCCGCCCGACTCCCAATCGCCCCAGTCTCGCCCCCCCTGCATGCACGCACGAGGCCGACCGAGAGGCGCTGCGGGCGCGCCGCGTGCGCACCGCAGCGCGTGCAGATTAACACACGCGCTGCGGTGCTAATCTGCACACGCCGATGGCCTGGCCCTGGAGTTTGGGGATCGCAGAGACGGGCGGACAGATATTTGAGGGAGGAGAGGGTGGTGGCCTGCCTCCAACATATATTGCAGCCGAAGGCTCCCTCAGGGAAGCCGACCAACATATGTGCGGTGGGCTTCCTCACGCGCCGAGCTCTCGGGGCGGGCGCATGGGGCCTCCTAACTACAGGCGTGGCCATATTTGCCACTCCCTCAGCGGCAAACGCAAGACACCTCTTGCGGCTCAGCGCCTGTTCTGGCTGAAATTCGAAAGCCTGAACGACCGACGAAGATCCCGACATCTCGAGCGCGGCCACCTTCGCGAAACAGTCGGCCCACACATTGCCGAAAAGTTATCTAGCGCCTCGCCCGATTCGATGCACGCCGAAAGACCCTCATCGACAGACCCGTGAGCATTGGCCCAGGTGAAGACAGGTCGGCACTCATCAGAACTGTACAACTGATGGATTTTGCGCCAGACGCTGGTGTGCGGGGCAAGGGGTTCTGCATGCTCGCAATCTCATGAGGCCCCTTCACGGGCGAGACTCAGATGATCAGTAACCAACTCGGTCGGCCTGGCAGCAACTTCCAGCCCGCGCAACGCAGCAACTCTTCTGCGCGGGGAACTGTTTGAATTGGGCCGCCAAGGCCGCCACCAACCGCTTTGAATGGGGCGAAATTGGACGTCAGGGCCACCACGGCCCATCCGCATCTCTTGGACTCAAGAAAATCATCGTCAAAACAAGAACCAGCACCTTAAACTTTTCCTGGCAACGGAACCGTCGCAGCACCCCATTCTTTAACAGGCAGCAGGCAAGGCTCAGGGGGCCTGAAAACAAGCCTCAGAGGGATAGCGTAGAGCAGGTTGACGGGGGTGAAGTCCCGCTCCAGGCCAACGTCTGTTTGCCCCTGACTCCAGATGTCCTTCCTGGCCGACAAGACGCCGTCGGGGTAAAGAGGCTCCTCTTCGTCTTCCTGCGGTTCGTGGGTCGAACAGTAGAAGAGCTCGTGATCCAGGTCCGAAGGCTCGTGGCCACAGAACTTGCAATTCGCGTTGTCCGTGTGGCTCTCCAAACGCCGTCCCTCGGACGACCGCATGCCGTTCGACTGCAACTTGGCAAGAGCTCCTCGAAGACCACTGGAAAGCGGTTGCACGTGCCCTTTCCTCAGACATCCAGATGCGCTGACGGCCACCTCTTTCATCCCGATGAGGAGCTCCAGGGAGGTGATCCAGAATCCTGTGATTGTGCCATCTCTCCAAGCTGGCGGACAGGTGGCGCTTCAACCCGCTAGGGGGCACCCTGAGCAAGCCACGCGCCGCGCCGAGGTCGCCGACGACAGCCGTGGACGACGCCATGCCCCAGCACACACGTTTCAGCGTGAGCCGGAGCGCCGAGAGCGGGCCCCTGGCGCTCGCCCAGGTGAGCTGGGAGGAGTCCCTGATCTGGTCTCGCAGCGCCATCCACGCCTTCTGGAGGTGCGACGGCGAACCGCGGAGCCCGCATACCCAGCCAGGATACAGCTGCAGGATACTCCATGTGGCGTGGTAGGTCGGGTCGGATGTGCGCTGCTTCTGCACAGCGAGGTATAGGGTGAGCGAACCTGAGCCTGCGAATCCACAGAAACTCATGCAGATCCACGTGGGGGTGGCGTCGACGGGGGGGGCGAAAGTTGAGCGCGCCGCCCGGCGCGAGATGATCTTTATCTTCCTCGGAGGGTGCCCATTGCGCGCGAGTTTTTCACCGTCGCGGTGTCCATGTTGCAGTTTGGTGATTGGGCGGGCTTCGTGACGGCCGGCTTCGTGCTCGGGCGAAGCGAACAGGTTTGGGGCGCGCGCGCATTAGCGCTCAGGAGCGGTCGTCTGGCATGGCCCTTGTCCTCGCGCGAAGTGATGCGCCATTAAGGTCGCGCTCTCGAATGATCCTTAGAATTGGCAGTGGATTGCATGGCTCATTTCCGAGGAGTCGCGCAGCGCGCCTAAATCTTGAAGGGTGCCACCCTCTTCAGCCACTACTGGAGGGCGCGGGGCCACGTCGCGCCGGGGCCCCGGATTTCTTGATCCCAGGTCAAGGCCCATCGTACTCTAGACGACGCGTTCTCTGAGCAAGGCCGCGTCAGAATCCTCGTAGCTAGAATGGCACACGATGTAATGAGACAACGTCGCGGGGGCGCATGGTTTGACCCTGCTGCTCGTTTAGACACCGCCCCCGCTATCTTCATGTTTCTGGTGTTCGCGACTGGTGCGGGACGGGCGCATGCTAGCGGGCCCTTTCACGAGAGTACTTTGGCCCCCTGCCCGAGGCCCCTCGCACGCCCCTCCCCGCCCCGTTGCCCCCCCCAAGCCCCTACCTGGGCAGGCCAGGGTCATCGCTGCACCTCGCGTTCAAAGCGCATCGCCTCTTACTGCTGTCGTCGTTGCCCAGGGGGCGGGGGGGGGCAGGAGGAGCGAAGAGGAGGGAGGAGGAGGGGGGCGGGGGGGGGGGAGGAAGGATGGGGGGCGAGGAGGAAGGAGTGGACAGCGGAGGAGGGAAGAGGAGGAGGGAATAGAAGCGAGGATGGCGTCCGGGTGCCACTGCGCGGCCGCGGTCCCGTGAGGATCTCCGATGCGGTTTGCCATCGAACACGCTCAGCTGCCTTCGCCAAGTCAGGCTACGCGGTCTCAATTGTCCTGAACCAGACGGCACTAGTTGTCTCAATTGGTCTCAAAGTTTCTCACCAAGCGAACCTTTCTGTCTCAATTTCTCTCAATTTGGGTCGTCCCCGGGATATTATATCTCAATTTCTTTCAATTTCTCTCAATTCCTCTCAATTCCTCTCAAAATCTCTCAAATATTCTCAATTCCTCTCAATATAGCTTACCATGAGAAAGCGCTACTACACAACAGCATCTTGATGGGCCGTTGCTCTCTCAAAAAACCTTTTCGCGACGTCCCTGGGAATGCCCTCGGCTCCCCGACCCGCTTCCTTGCCTCTCGAGGTAATCGAGAATAGGGTCCCCGTCCACCCTCTCCCTCCCCGCCTTGACTCCACCCTCTCCCTCCCCGCCTTGACTCTCCATCCCTCCCTGCAACACTCCCCCCTTCCCTCCCCTTCCCTTCCTGCCTCCCCCCTTCCCTCCCTCCGTCCCTCTCCTCCCCCCTCCCCCTCGTCGTCGTCGTCGTCGCAGCGGCGGTTGGCCGGCGCCCGCTCCTCTTGCCCCCTGGGCCCGCTGCTCGGGGGAGGGCGGGCTCCCCGAAGCGCCGGTGGGAGGCCCTTCGGCGTGGCCCCGTCGGAGGCCTCCAGCGCTCCTCCTAGGGCCGTCCCTGGAGTCCTTGGCAGTCATGCGAGGTCTTCGGCGTATGTCCGAAGCCTCTGCAGGTTGTCGGCCGCCCCTGGAGGCTCTCGGAAGCCCCGAGCCTTTCCAGGGTCCTCGGGACCCTTGGAAGCCGCCAGGGCTCGCGGTCCTGGTGATCGTCTTGGGGGCCGGTGGGTTTCGGGGGGCTTCGGCTGCCTCTGGCGGCTTTCGGTGGTCTCCGGGAATCCCCCTTGCGATCCTCGGAGGTCCATGGCAGCCCTCGGAGACCCTTTGTGGTCCCTGGTGTCTGCTTGGGCTCTTCGGGGGTCGTCGGGGATGTCTGGAAGCCTTTGGATGCCTCGGGGGGCTCGTCCTCCGGGGGGCTTGCAAAGTGCAAACGCACAAACATATGCACATGTGAATGTGCAAATACAGATGCACATGCCGAAATATTGATGATCCGGATTTGTGGTACGTTGTGCGTTGCAGGAACGATGCGTTGCTGTCGTCATTTTGCAACTGGTTTATGCTTGCAGGCGCAGTGGATTTGGGGATACCGCCAAGGGGTCCGATCAGGCTTCTGGCGGCGGTTCGCTTGTGTAAATGTACGAAACCTCTGCGTCGTGATATCTGTTACGCTGTTGTGTGATTGCACCGAAATATTGTTGCAAAGCGCCCATTCTACAGACCCGCTGCGTCGAAGTGGTCTCGCGTGGCGGCCCTCCTCCATAGCGGCATCCATGGACGTTGCGCATTGTTGTGCAGCCGCGTGCGTTTGGTTGTGTTTTGAACGTGTTTGGTTGTGTTTTGAACACCCCTTGGCTCACTCAGAGGCGGTTTGATCGCCCCCCCCGTCTCCGCCACCCCCATGTGGATCTGAAGGAGAAACTCCCAACAACGTTCCTCATCTGCTTCAGTTCGCTGTCATTGATACCACTGACAGCACCGCCGTGTCCGACAGAGGAAAGAAAACTCCTCCGGTCCAAATCCTGGCCGCCTTGGCACATCCAGCTCCCCGCTGGAGGGTGCGGATTCTGGCCTTCATGCCGTGCATCTTCTTCAGGCGGTCCATCTGCGCCCCGCGTGCGGCCGCTGCAGCACCCACGTCATGGCCAAGATACCGCACGCGACGCCTGCCTGCAAAATTGAGCAGCCTGGCGAACGACTTGACATAATCAGCCGTTTGACGCGTCAAAGCTAAGTGCCCAGACTTGTCGAGTTGCAGAATGAGGCCAAGGGTGCGTGCTGACTCGCAAAAGACACGGCACGCCGTAGCCACAAAACGCGAGCCGCCCGGGTCGAGGCCCGGCCAGCTCAAGGCCACGTCATCGACCAGGTCCCTCGGCCGTACCTCCATCGCAACAGTAACGGTTAACTTGATGCTGCGCGTGAGTGAGGAGGACCATCAACATCGCGGCGGCATGCGGGCATCCTGCCAAGATACCCCGGAACACCTGCTGAGCCCGAGAGAAACAATTGCATGCGGAGATAGAGCGCACCTGCTCGTCAAGCAATGCCAGCATGTAGACCGGGCGCACGGGGGAATTGTTCGTCCTGCACTCGCTGAGGATGGCGGAGTGCTTGACCATCTCATAGCACTTGAGCATGTCGCGGAGAACGACCAGCGCATGCTTGCCAGTCAACTGTGCCGTCTCCTTCTCAAGCGCCAGGTCGAGCGCCGCATCAGTGGAGGAACGCCCGCCAATCTGGCCCCAGAACTCCTCGCTGAGTTGGCGCAGCTTCCAGTCGACCGAAATCGGACGACGCGCCCGACC